ACAATATGTTCTTCTCATATTTAATCACAAATATTTTCATCTAATAATATTATCTTCTATTTTTTATCTTTTAAACATTTAACAAGAATTAATTTGCAACATGATAATTCATTTCAATGATCTAACAATCATAAACACCATGTTTTAAACAAACAATGAATACAATCATTACATTTAGACAACAATTATGAAATAATTAACAACATCACAAATCATTATAATAATATAAAGATGAATACGAATGAAATGCATAATTTCGTGACCAAAATAAATAATAATAATAAACAAAGAATAAAAATGAATATATTTTTTATTAAACAATCGAATAAATAAAATAAATAAAAAAAATAAATAATAACAGAATAAAAATAAAAGATATATATAATAAATAAAAATAATAAAAAATAGATAGAAAAAGAAATAAAAAAATAAAATATAATAAACATAAAATAATAAAAGAATAATAAGAAAAGATAAAATAAATAATAAAAATAAATAAATAATAAAATAATAAACATAATATTTATATTAATAAAATAATAAATGATATAATTAATAAAATCAAATATAACATATATAAAAGATAAATATGATAAATAAGAATAAAATAAACACAAAAAATAAGAAATAAAATAAATACAAGAATACAAAAACAAATATATTCAAATAAAAAATGAAATAATATAAAAAAGAAGAGAAAAGAATAAAAATATAATATATAATCAAATATAAATATTATATGATTGGTATATAATATGTAATAAATAATAAATAATAATTTCATATGATATAGATAGAAGATATAAAAATTAAATGAATAATAATAATAAATGATAATGAAATAATAAGAGAAAAGAAATGATATAATAATAAATAAAATATATAAATGAAAAGATAAATAAAATCAATATAATATAAATAATAATAAATATAAAAAGAAAATAGATATAAAATATAAAAATATAATCAAAATGAAAATAAGATAAAGAAATGTATTCATATATAATAAATTATATATAAATAAAAATGAATGAATATATAAAATAAAATATAAATAATAAGAATATCAAACTAATAAAATATGATATATAATATATATATAGATAAAATGATGATATATATAATATAATAATAAAAATAAATATAATAATAAAATACATAAATAACATAATAATAAAATAATAATACTGTATACTTACATTGAATTATGTCATTTCTGAATCATTTATAATTTAGAACAGTTTCAATAAAATGATATAAAATATAAACAAATATAAATGAATATAGAATGAATATTTAATTTACATTTTTATTTTTTTATTTTTTTTATTTTTTTATTTTTTTTTAGGAGCAAAATAATAAAAACTATTATTTTATTTTTTCAAAATATTTTGCCCTCCAATTTGTGTTGTGTTATTTGTTTTATTATTCATTAATAATTATTATTCAATTTTATTTTTAATAAATGTAATAAATACTTTTAATATATAACTTAAACATGTAATATGTCTGTAATATTATGATTTAATTAATCTCATTCTTTATATATTAATATATCTTTGATTTTAGAATTTCGTTTTGTATATTTAATGATTGTTCAACCAATCGGTTATTTATTTCTTTTATTGATATGAGATATTTTATCAAAAATCATTCAATTAAATTTATTCTTAGACTTTTCCTTTTGTTTATTTGATTAAATACTCTATTTATTCATTGTTAATTTCCTTATATATTCATTTCTATTCATACATTATGTTATTTATTCTATCAATTGTTCATCTATATTATTTATCTATTCTTTTTCTTTTATTTCTTTCTAAAATGATAATATTTGTTTGAAATTCTATTGTTTATGACTTTCTTATATATCTCATTAGTAATAATTTCTATAATTCTCAAAAAAAAAAAGAAATAAATCACAAAGAATCTAAGAATCAAATTTATGATAGATAGAGCAAAGGAAACATAACACCTTTATTCAAATGGAACACTACATCGAGGTATTAAACTAGATAATTTCCTTGTTGTATTACTTGATAAAAATCACTAAATTAATTGTAAATTAATAGATTTTTGAAGTTCAAGAAATATTGTATTGATGATAAATATAACATTCACAAAAGGGATAGGAACACCAAAATACATAACATCTAAATATTAAATTAAGGACATTATAAAATACTATCACACATATATTCATCATTAAAAAGAAGTATTAAATAAATTAAGAAAACTATCAGAACAAAAAAAAGAGTAGGAACTCTCATTATAAGAATAAGTTAAAAACAAACTAGAATAAACTTAATAAGTAAGAATATGTTAAGTAACTTAAAAAAAAAGATAAATATTAGTGGTTAATGTATAACATTTTTCAATTATTTTTACAAAACAGTAAAAAATAAAAATCCCAAGAAATTTTAAATTTATTTTTTGTTAGTAAACATAATTAGCATTAAAAAACACTCAAAATAAGAAGCACTTTGATTTTGTTTTCTTACTTTCTTTGATATTAACATTAGCTTTACCAGAAGATTGTTTTGAACTTCCTTCTAACTTTTTAACAACTTCATTAATTAAATAGTTAAAAGCTTCAGCAATGTTAGTATTTGTTTTAGCACTAACTTCCATAAAATGAACGTGTTGACAATTTGCAAATGATTGACCTTCTTCAGTACTAACTTGTTTTGGCATATCACATTTATTACCTACTAATAATCTAACTGCATTTCCAGCAATTTCAGCTTCAGTTTCAGCTAACCAATTTTTTGTACTTTCAAATGTCTTTTTATCAGTACAATCATAAACAACAATGACAGCATGAGATCCTCGATAATATGATTGAGTGATTGTATGAAATTTTTCTTGCCCAGCTAACATAAGATATAAATAAATTCTTTTAAAGGAAAAATTAGAAGATAAAACAACAAACCTGTATCCCACTAAATGAATTAATTTGATATTTCTTTGAAATGAAACATAAACTTCTTTTTTGATTTAATTACAATAACAAGAAGTAGCCTTTTCGTTTTAATGAGAAATCCTCGAAAATTTATAATCTTAAAAGGTTATTTAAAGAAAGAAGAAAACTAACAAACGACTTGAATTTTTAATCGTTTTCCATTTACTTCCAATTTTTTAACTTTAAAATCAACACCGATAGTTGCAATAAATGCATCTGTAAATGTGTTATCAGTATATCTCAAAAGCATTGCTGTTTTACCAACAGCAGTATCTCCGATAATAAGAAATTTTAACAAATAATCCCAATCCTTTTTCTCAGTCATTTTAATTTTACAGTTCCATCATTTTATTATTTTTTTTCAAATATTTGAATATTCTTCTCAAATAGAATCTTCTCTTTTTTTCTATTTTTAGTTTTTGTTTTATATCACTGTATTTATATTAAACCTTTTTAAAATTAAACAATAACGAATTAAGGAAGATTAACTGGACTGGTTGTTGCAGAAAAAGTCCCATTTTCTTTTGTTGTACCTCCTTTTCTTTTACCACCAAGAAACTTTAGTCTCATTTCTGGGTTATAAGTTTCACTTCTAGAAATAGCTGTTGGGCGATGTTGTTTAAATGGTTGATTATTTGGAGAAGAAGGACGATCAGAAACAGGAGAGACAAAGTCTTTAGTTTCTGGAAGAATAGGACTGCTACATACATATTTATCTGTTTCTCCTCTTGTGATTTTCATTGAGACACGAGTCAAATGAGGAGAATGAGGTTTAGCAATATCAGACTTTGATAAACCTCTTTTATAAGTTTTTTCAACTAAGTTCATCCTTTCTTCTTGTTTCATCAATTTATTTCGTTGTTTATAATTAATTTTAGCTAATTCACAAAGCTTTTCATCTGAAAGGATAACTTTGTCAGTTTTCATACAGAAGATACATTTAAGAGTTTCAGGACAATAATCTCCAAGAATTAACCTTCCACAATAACTACATCTAAAACATTCATGATGATAAAAATATCCTTCAGAAAATGAACAAGGTTGGTCATGTTTGATTTCTTCAAAACAAAACTTACAATACACAATATTTTCTAATTTGATTCCTAATTCATTTGTAATACTATCAAGAGTTTCTAATGTATATTCTACTTTTGAATAATCTTTAATAATGGACATAATGAAGTTAGTTGAAGTCCTTGTTGAATTTGTTCTTCTCTTTCTTTAAAAAACATATAACACATTTGACTTTCTTCAAAAGATTTCATGATAGTATAATTTTCTACATTTACCTGTTTTAAATATTCTTCATATTCTTCCATTTGAAACACAGCTTTTTGTTTTTGTGAATCAAATTTTAGATATTTTTGATATCCATCAAAGATAGAAGCAAAGAATTTATGGAAGAGACAATAAATCAGCTCATTTGAATTTTCATCTAGGTGATGAAGAATACGAGTTAATGCAGCTTTTAAAATAGTAGTTTCATTAGAAATAAATACCAATGGAAAATTTAATGGTTGGTTATTTAATAATTTACCACTATCTACATCAAGAACAATTGTATCATCCATTTTACCACAATCTTTATATACATTTGGTAAAAAATTATTTTTTACTCCAATCACATAAGGCATAGGTGCAGCACAATATGTCACTAATGAAAGTGGTAAAACTGGAATAAATACATGTTGCCATTGGAATGGAGATACTAAAGAAGTAAATGCCATAATAAATTCTGATAATGATTGAATTGATTGACTTACAAAAAGAAATTTTCTTTCTACTAACAAATATCCAATAAGATCAACAAGCATTGAAGCACCAAATGTTTTTAATAATACTGACACGTCATGGTTAGAATGGTCATTTAATTCATCACTATTAATAATTTGATAAGGAAGGTAATGAAATGAAATATTTGATAATACTTCATTAGCTAATGGGATTGGTTGAAGACAGATATCATCAAGAAATCGTTTCATTATTTCAATTGATAATAATCGGAGTTTTTTAGCTATTTTTAATATTTCTTCAAATAAATGTGTCAACGGTTTTGTTCCAATAATACATAAACATTCTGGTTCTTTAAAATGTGGAAACCTTAAACAGTATGCATACTTTCTTGTTCCATTTACATCTGTTAACATAAATGTAAAAATTTCTGGAATTGTTGGCTCAAACAATAAATTTCTTTGTGTTAATAATGTTTCACCTTCTGAAAAACAAAACGGAAAAATTGTATTTTGTTGATTAACATCTCCTACAACATATTGGTAGATGCACTCCTTATTTATTTTCCCATTAACTAAATTACATCTTAATAAAATGATATCTTCAACCAGTCTCTCTCCCATATTGACTTATTTGACTTATTTATTAAGTTTTTTCAAAAAATTTTTTTCTTCTTCTCTTAACTTTTTACTTTCTTTTTTTTTTAATCATTCTCAAACGCTTTTCTTCTTTTTTTGAGTTATTTTCCTTATTTTCTCAATAACAATAACTCGTAATGATTACTTTATCTGAATCAGACTTGTATAGTTTATTATTATAATATTTTTATATTATTATATTGTTCAATCTAATAATTATGGAACTTTTAATACTAATTGACTTCCGGCGAAGATATGATATCTTGAATATCATTTCTACTAACGAAAGTGAGAATAATTTAAGATTGAACTTATTAACTATATGGAATAGCTAAATAAGTTCAAACTTGATATTAACATTCTTTATTAAATAAGTATGTGTGTAATGATACAATTAAATTAATAACCGTGTATTGTATTAATTTTACTTTCTTTTATTTGTTTTTATTTTCGTGAGTTATTTTTATAAATGTTTTAGGAAATAAAAATAAGAAGATTAAAATTATTTATTCTACCTTAACTATTATGTTCTATATTACAGAAAACCAAAAAAACAAGGTACTTGTCAAATTCTATATTTTATAATACTTTAATGTATTATTGTAATTATTAATTTGATTGTTAATTTAATGAAAAACAATTGTTTAGAGAATATCAATAACAAATTAATTCATTTCTAATACTCATAATTCATTTTTTATACTTCTTGTTATCTTGTTTTTCATATTCCACAACTATTCAAATTCATGAAATTGAATTAAATTTAGTAATAAATATTTCATTATAATTTATGATGTTTTAAATATGAAATATTTAATTGTTTTAATTGTTTTAAATCATTAAAAATGTATTAATTTATCTTTTTCTTTATCATTAGAATAGATGAGAGATGTTGTTAATAATTATTTTATTAATGAATATTATCATTAATCAGTTAATTTATTAAATAGAATTGAATATGTTCATTTATATATTCTTTACTTATTTGATATTAATTATTATATTTCTCTTTTATTTTCTGTTTTAATTTGAATGATAATTATTTGTTTAAATTAATGTTATCAAATAATATCATTATTTAATTTAGAATATTATTTGTATTTTTATCATAATTAAAAGTAATTGTAATGTTGTATTTAAATATTAGTATATCAATTATTCATATAATTCATTATATTATCATTATTAATATAATTCTTTTAATTTAAAATAAATATAATTGAAATAATATAATTAAATATGATAATGTTAAGAAATATTGAATAGATATTAGAAATATAAATAATAGTATTAATAAAGATAATAGTATTAATTAAATATACTTCTTTATTATGATTATAAATATAAAATAATAAATATAACGTTAATATAAATGAAATATATATCAATTATTGTTTAATCAAATAGAAAATGATGATATAATAATTAATCAATAAAAATAATATTAAGAAATAAAATAAAGAATAAAGAGAATAAAGATAAAGAATATAAAAGAAAATAATAATAATAAATAAGTGAAAATAAATTGTCAATAGAAATAAAAATAAATTAATATTTTAATTTTATTAAATATTATATTAATACTATTATATTTAACTATTTCATTATTAATTTCATTATAATTTATTATTATTATTTAAACTATTTCATTATAATATTTAATTTTATTATTATTTCTTTATATTCTATACCTTTCATATATATCACATCACTTTATCATTAATTATATAATAATATTATGCTTTCTCATTTGTAGTTGTTGTATTATTTTTTCGGAATATCTGTCCTTAGTTTCTTCTATATGCCCTATTTATATCAAAGAGAAAAAGAGAATATTCTATTAATAAAAATAATGGTAAAAATAAAAAATAATGATAAAAAAGTGATATAAATTATAGTATAAAAATAATCAAACAATCAAATAATTATAGTTTTTTTAGAACTACGTGCTACTTTATTTTATTTTTACTTCCCAAATTTTGTTTTTTGTGTCATCGTCATCATTTCTGACAAGATGTTTTGCTCTTCTTTCTTATTCTTTGTTATCTTCTTCTAACTTATTATTCTGTTATTTGTTACTTTCTTCTTTAATATTATTTAAAAATAATAAAAAGAAATGACTTTGAATATAATAAAATAATAACTAAAATGATAAATTATAAATGTATATTTAATTATTTATGGATCTTATTTTGATCTTATATTTATTATTTCAATTAAAATAGAAGAAGCGATGAGTAGTCAAATAATTAAAGAAGAAATAAAAACACTTCCAAATATCCAACAAAGAATTGACGACACTACTAAACATTATCAAGAGTATTTAGGAAGTATTAAAAATGAAATATTTGAAATACAAGATAATGAAACGTATGAACAAGCTATTAAAAGGGGAGAAGGATAATTAACGAGATGGATGAAACAGAAAGAA